GAGTCAAATTTTCAGACTAACAAGACAAATAATCTTACACATTCTGAAAACAAGATTATTATTCTTACACAATCAGTTCTTGTTCAGTAAATCAGTCTGAAAACAAGATCAAAAAGACTTTTTGGTAAGATGGACAGTTTTTGCAGTGTAAAAGGCAATTAAAATTTCAAGATGGCCGCCACCTCAAAGTCTACATTTCAGTCATTTTAAAACTTATTGAGATGAAATTTGTTGTGGAGGATAAGAATGATCACATGCCGATTGCCGATGCTAATCCCAAATTCAGCTAACTGCTAATGCTAATGCTAATCCTAATTTTACAAAGGACTAAAAATCATTTAAACACACTTAATGAGGTGACYATTTATTTGCTCCAACTGTTCCAAAATTATAAAATATTTTACCTTTTAAGTTGTGCGAGATCAATAACCTATTTTTGTTCAAAGCTAAGCTAAAGCCACATCTGTTTAGAACTGCTTTCAGCACAGTGTAGCATACTGTTATTGTTATTTTTCTACCAATGTCGTTGGTTTTTATTCTTTATTTTTATTACTGAACTAATGGAATGGTTCAGTAGTCATGTTTGTAAAGTGTTATATAAATAAAATGTGATTAATGGACACAGCTAAAACATTAGTAATCTAGTAAAGTAATCTAATATCTCCACAAACTTAATGATTTCGGGGTGGCACCTGGGGTGGCCAATCAGGTGCCAGAGGTGGCACCCCTTTGGCTCCGCCCCTGCTCCTCACATTCCTGCTGCTCTTACTTCATCTGGTAGAGGTTGTTGGTTCCTCTGTGGTCGATATCGTGGCAGAAGCCAGCGGTCACCATGGCCATGCACTCCAGGTCTGTGTAGTAACGCTTCAGGTCACCGGTCTGAGAGAAACAAACAGGAAACACTGAAGTCAGCCGAGAGACGGTCTGACCAAACGGCATAAACATTATTATTTTATCTCATTTACTCATTTATTTTACTTATTTACTCATTTATTGTACTTATTTACTCATTTATTGTACTTATTTACTCATTTATTTTACTTATTTACTCATTTATTGTACTTATTTACTCATTTATTTTACTTCCAGACACACGTAAACACTAAACTGTGTCTTATTATATTTACAGATCATCCCAGGGGATGAGAGGAGGTGAAGAGTGGGGAGGAAAACAAAGAGATGAAGGGAGAACCTTGAATCAGAGAAAGGAGGAGGGGAGGATGGAGAGCAGGAGGTCAGGGAGTGACAGAGCAGGAGGTCAGGGAGTGACAGAGCAGGAGGTCAGGGAGTA